CTTGGATACATTTTTTTAAATTTTTTTATTGATTAAGTTATTACACATGTGTCCTTATCCCCACGTCCCCCCCATCCCCCACTCGGCTTGGGTTTTTACCGAGGGTCTCAGTAAACCCTTTTTTAAAAAATATAAGGCAGGAAGTGGAATGCGCAGTGGAGCTGGTGCGACGCTGGCAGGAGGACCGTGCCACAGCGGCTGCTCTAACCCCGCAGAGAGGAGCTCCGGCCCGCGGTCAAGGTCGGTCTCCTCTGGCCGGGGCTGAAGTTGCCCAGGAATCAGTGCAGGGGACTGGGTTAATCAGACACTTCTCACAAGCAGTAGCCCAGTGTTCACTGTTTTTGATGACCTTTTAAGATAGAAGAGGTTATTCAGGGACAAAGCATGCCCCCCTTTAAAATCATTTCGGAAGTGCCCGCTGGCCTGGCTCAGGGGTTGAGCACTGACCTATATGCACCAGGAGGTCGCAGTTCGATTCCGGGTCAGGGCACATGCCCAGGCTGTGGGCCCAATCCCCAGTAAGGGGTGTGGGGGTTCAGAATGCAGCCAATCCATGATTCTCTCTCATCATCCATGTTTCTCTCTCTCTCTCCCTCTCCCTTCCTCTGTGAAATCAATAAAAATATATATTTTTTAAAAAGCTGTTTAAAATGATTTCAGAAGTGACTCGCTTTACTTGAGTGAAGAGCGTGAATGTGGCCCATGTGGGTGCCGAGTCCATGTGGATGCTTCTGGAATACCACACTAGCGTCTGGGTTTTGTATCCCATCAGCGTGTTCTCAGGCTGCAGCTTCTGCCTACCTGGGTCCCCCACCGTCCCTAACTGGGACTCTGCGTGCCTGTGGCAGGAGCTGCTGGCCGGGTCCTGGGGGTCCTCTGTGGGGGGCTTCCCTGCAGCTCTGGGACCCGCCGGGAGAGAGGATGGGCAAGTGCCTGAGCATGGATGCCGGGGAGAGAGCGGAGAAGGAGGAGGCTCCTTCCTGGTGGCCGGGCTGGGCCTCCAAAGGCAGCTCTGCCTCCGGGTCAGGGAGCGGAACCGGGAGTGAAGCGACTCCTCTGGTTGGGAGGCTCTGAGCACCCCTTCTCTCCCCAGCGCCACTGAGAACCCCACCTGCCTCTCTAGGAAGATGGAGGGGAACCTCTCTGACCGTCTACAGCGCCTGTGGGAAGCTACCGCCCTCCACAGCTGCTTGCAACGGGGGCCGCCAGCTCTGCTCCAGGGGCCGCAAGAAGACCCGCTGGGCCTGGGGTCCTGCGAGGAGCCCCCCTTCGTCCAGGTCACTCCTGACACCGAAACAGGCACCGTGCACCGTAGCCGGACTCCTCCCTCCGTCCAGAGGCCCTGTGAGGTCGCGGCCACGTCTCCGCCTTCCTGCCGGGAGCTGCCCCATTTGTCATCTCCATCGCCAGCCGCTCTTTACCACGACCACCAGTCTTCACAGTCCCCACCCCGTGTGATTCCTCGAGGTAACACTGGGAAAACCTCACGGTGCCACGGAAATGTTTATTACGGCGACAGTGGTCTGGTGAGCCATGAACTTTCAAAATTACTTTAATTGAAAAAACAGCTTTTTTATTAAAGTATAGCTGGCATGCAATATTATATTTGCAACACTAACTCCACAGGTGTATACTGTACTGTGTGATCGCCCTGCTGAGGCCAGTGCCCCGTCACCACGCACAGGGACTGTGATGTTATTGCCTCTGTGTGCTGCTCTGTAAGCCCCCCTCGTGGCTCGTTTGTTTTATGACGGTGGGTTTGCACCTCTTACTCCCCTGCGCCTTTCACCACCTCCACCCGCTCCCAGGCAACCGTCAGTTTGTTCTCTGTCTTATGCGTCTGCTTCTGTTTTGCTTTGTTTGTTCATCTGCTTTGGTTTCTTTCCAGAGGACACATACATGAAGTCATCGGTATTTGTCTTTCTCTGTCTGACTTGTTTCACTTAGCACACAACCCGCCGGGTCCACCCATGTCGGTGCAGTTGGTAAGGAAGTTTTTAAAGCACCGGAGAGAGGTGGGCCTCTCTGTGTACCTGGGTCTCTCTGTGTGCCTGGGTCACACCGTGAACCTGGGTCTCTGTGTACCTGGGTCTCTGTGTACCTGGGTCTCTCTGTGTACCTGGGTCACACTGTGTACCTGGGTCACACTGTGTACCTGGGTCACTA